CGACTATGAGTACACCCCCCCCCCCCCCCCCCCCCCCCCAGTGCGGCTGCTCCTAAACTGCTCAACAACAAGTGGGGATGAGGACTCGAAATTAAAAAAAGGCAACGGGACTTGTAAGCCAGGAACTCCAGCACTCGGCCGTCTATTCCTTACCACCATAAATGTCTATCCTATCCTAGGCCGGTCGCCCCGGTGGCCTATGCAGGGTTGCGTGAAAACTGCGAGCGAACCATGCTGTCAAAACACAGCAGTAGTGAAGCAACAACACAAATATTCCACGCCATGTGTCAGCAGCAGTCTGCATGCAGCGGTATTGGTGGAGACTAGTCTAGATTAATGTGTTCCCAAACTTAAAGCAGTATCTGTCCCCCGGACACGCAAAAAAACAAACAAACAACGGTATGCTCACCTGCTTGTTGAGAGAAACCATCGCCTTGGTGACATCCTTCATTGCACCCGCCATGGCTTCATGAGACCTGACAGTCTCGAGCTTGAGCCCGACCCCTTGAAGATGGCTCCTAAACTCGATGAACTTGGTTACATAATTCCGTGTTCGAACAAGGTCTTTCGCCAGCACCTGCACAGAAGGAGTAACCCACAACGAGTTGTCTTGGGCCATGCAACACATAGGATATATACCTTAACAGAGCACGCTTGTCTGTGCAGGGGCTGCTTGTATTTGCGTACCAGATACATATCACAGAGCGAACACTGATTTGATGATTTGATCCATCCTGGCGTCCTGACACGGGGAGATGTCAAATGAACGAAGAGGGACCGCAGACAAGCAGTTTATGTTGAAGTTGAAACAGGAGCAGGATGTTGTGGTGAGTTCGTCCAGTTCGCACCTTCACCGCTCCCATCTGTCCAGCCTTGGCATTCTTCTTGATCTCTCCAACGAGCTTCTTCTCTTGTTTCTCCAGGTTCGCCTTCTCCCTGTCAATGTCTCTCACTGCCCGCGTGATTGTCCGCTTGTTTTCCCTCAGAATTTCTTTCAAAGGCTTCTTCTTGCCAAAAACAGACTTGAGCTTGTCCATGACTCTGTGCTGCGGAGGCTTTCAACAAGAGTTGAGCGAGATATCCGTATCAACCGCGCACGTTCTTGCTGCTGTCCGTGAGTGGGGGGCATTGCCCCGGGCAAGAGGTGGGCTGGTGGTATTTTCCATCGTCCACGGGGAGGCGGCTGCGTGCATCTTGTCTGCCGTGCCCCGAAGCCCCGCGAACTAACTTTGACACCTGCATCCAACCAATGTTGTTTGTTTTTGTTTTTCTCCCATCATTGGACTCTGTCGTCTGCCCCTCTGGCCCCTATCCTCCACTTCTACTAGCCAGACGACCCAACCGGGGTCACATAGGAGGGGGGGGTTGGACTCCCTCCTGCGGTTCATGCCTGAAGTATTTTTATCGCGAGAAGGGTACAGCAATCCCTTCCCTCGCGACTTACGAAGTCGATTATGGTTTACTAACAAACGAGCTTTGCAGCGCGTCGCTTTCATTTTAGACCAGGATTTTATTAGTGAGAAAAAAACTCTCTCTGCCGGGACTCGAACCCATGACCTGGCCCTTAGCAGGCTGCGAAGCTACCCACTAGACCACCGGGGCGACCGGTGTAACGCCGGCCGACCCACCACACTGCAACTGCCACCAGACCAACGGCGGAACGACGGATTATTTCTTAGAAAATGTATGTATGTACATGCAAACAATCAAAGAAAGTCGAAGGGGACGTGTGTTTTGAATAAAGAAGTCTACTGCTCTGTTTGTACAAGTAGCCACACTTCTTGCACCACACGTTTATTTTTCGCGTTCTCTCCGCCCAACCAAAAGGGAGAGAGGGGAATTGTTCGATCTGCTCACTGATTCCGACCAATAGAAGCAGCTGCTGTAGGCGGCGGCCACAGCAGGCAGAACGCTCCATGACTTGAGAGAATATTGTGGACCATGTACGTGCAGTTCTTGTTGGAAGTAGATTTGTTCGAAGCAGCTAGACTACAACAGTTCACAACATTTTACTGCTTTCTACAATGTAGGGTAAGGCGTAAAAAGTCCTCAATTCTGCATATCCAAACCCACACTTCGCTTTCTTATCGGGTTCAGCTACACGTAAGGATAATGCGACCATTTGACCCCTCTCAACGCGAACCGTCTCTCGGTGCGTACCCTGACTCACCCACTTGAGCCTGTTTGGTGGGCGAAGAAATCGGCTGCGCACTTGAGGTCAAGTACTCAGGTTTGATGAGCACACGCCGGCATCCTATCGGCAAAGGAAAACAGGTGCTACGGTACGTAAACTATTCTTGGTTTTAAGGTAAACAAGCTGTTCTAAACTGCTGCTGCTGCTGGCGGCGGTCCAACATAACCAAGCACAACGTCAAATACGCCGCCCGCCCCCCCCCCCCCCCCCCCCCCCCCGACTTCGGAACATCCGATCACCGCCCGTGGTATGAACAATACTCCGCAGTCCTAAGAGCGGTAACATGGCAAACCAACAGCACGGTCTCGAAAGACCTTTGTCACGCGAGGAAAACAATGAAGGCTACATGAGGGAAGAACGCCAACAGCCAAAGAGACACCCTAGGTGGTGAGGCGTACTTGCTCTACCGAGGCTGTTCTAACGGGACTGAAATGGTACATTTCATGAGGAGCCTAACGAAGGAACACGAAATAGCAATATACGAGAAGCGTCGTAAAAACGACACGACCATCGAAGCCATGAGCACCAACCAATGTGGCATTGCCCTGCGCCCGACGAAAATCAACAACCGTGCAATGTATGATGTACAAATCATCCATACGTATTACGCGTGCTTCCTACCCTACAACCCACTCACAGCGACAAGGCTCGGAGTGTGTAAACACCACATGTACAAGAGGTAAACATTCGAGTGCGGCATAGTTGCGCGTATGAACATGGAACCGGTTGGTGTTCTGCGTGAAAGGGGTTGTTTTCAAGAAGTCAGTCACTGCTGTCTTCACTCTTCACACGATGCGCCAAGAAAGAACAAACAAAACAATGGACGCCGTATTTGTTACTCCACGATTCATGTGCACGAGATGACTCGTTGCATGCACCAAACACAACGGTGTGGGTGTAGGAGCGAATCAATCCCAGCCACACGCCTCCAACCCAGCCACCACCATGAGAGACAGCGGGTAGAGGGAGAGCACCATAACTCCGTCGACCACCCTGAATGTGTTTCGCAAGGACATCACAGCCATTACCGCCTGCAGTCACACGAGCCGACAACGACGTACAAACAAAACGCGACCGTTACCACATGTGAGTTCAGCGGGCAACACCACATTCAATCCAGCAAGGCGAGATGCGACGGTGGCTACATGTAAGTCGCAAGCGAAACCGCACAGGGGGGGCATGCCGTGGATTGTCCGGATTGTCCAGATTCTAGCAGTGCTTGCTGCTTGCAGGCACATACAGCAGCATTCGCATCACAATGACAGAACAAGATCAACGATCAACATACCCTGTATGTACATCGTACAAGGTAAAGAATGCAACCAGCGAATCGACACACCTGCACTAGGAGGATGGTGACCGTTTCCGCGCTGAACTCCCATGCTAGGTTCCGGAAGTAGATGAGAAACATGAACACACCCAGGCAGAACGTGTTGTTCATGCATGCGGCGCCCTGGAATATATTCAGAGGAGGGAGGCACTCCATTTACGTTAGGGGGCATATGTGGTGCGAATCTTGCAAAAAGATGAGAACTGGTGACCGGGGAAAGCGTGGCGAACATCCAAGACAAACAACGCACATTTCAAACGCACACAGTGGGAGCAAGCAACGAAATTTTTATCCCCAGTCTCTCTCGCCTGCAGTGCTGCGAAAGAGATGACGATCGTGCGACTGGTCTTCTTGAGAGAGTAATTGAAGGCGGCAATGAGCTCGCTAGCGTTGGACGCGAGCGGCGCCAAGACGAACGAGATGTAGAAGGACGAAATTCCCGTGCGGTCGCCGAGGACTCCGAGCACGTCCACCATGGGATCTGTCGCAACAAAAGGCATCACCAACGTCAAAAGCATGTAAGAGTTGCCTTGTGCATTGGCGCGCGCTCTTCGGGTGCGCCCGGGCCTTGCGCAACCCTTCTTGGAGGACAAGCCTGGTCACCGCGCACGGCTGGCCTTGAGAAATTGTAAGAACTGTCTCTGTTTCGCTCTAGTATTTTGGGATACGGGACGACGAGGGGAAGAGATACAAGTGCTCAGCAAGAGCACATCACGGCAGCTCTGCAGCTGTCTAGGTCCAGGGGGGTTAACGGCGGCCCGCCACAGTTCGCAGACCTCCCCAATATGACACAGGGTTATCGATTCGTCGTGCTGTTGCATAGATACCTGCCCGTCGTCCATTTGCAACGTGTTTCAAATAATGTCAGGGTCCCAAATCATGAATTGAGCGCGCTTGGATGGTGCAGGGGGACAATTCTGTGCTTTTCTACTGTATTACGCGCAACACGAGCCCTTCAAGCAGCACGCCCGAAGTTCCAGTCGGACTACACTATAGCACTACGATGCTTCCTTGCCCCTATCTATCTGGTCATGAGCGTCGAACAAACCATGCTCAACGAACAACAGCAGGAGGGATTCTAAACCAACCCTGCTTGATTCGCTAGTATGCATAGTGCTGAAGGGTTGTAAATTCCGTGTTGCACTACGAAGGTTGTCCGTGGACAGAAACTTGCTCCGAAATTGGCGTAGATCATGAGAAGGGGCCCGTCTGCCAGGTGGACAGCTGCGAGGTTTACCTGAGAAAATGAGCACGAGGGCTGTCCCGACCGTCATGAGGTAAGCCGCGCGCATCTTGACGTGGTACTGCTGTTCCTCTGGTTTGAGGTGTGCCAGATCCTCCGGCATCTATGACATAACACCGTACAGATTCAAGGGGACACGACACACAGGGAGGCAATGTACGAAGTGCGAAACAACTGCTGTTCGATACAAGGGCAAAAAGTTCTCGCAGAATCCAATGCAGCAAAATCTCGACCATTATTTACCAAGATAATACAGTACGGGCTCACGGGCCTACTTCCACAAGCTGCTGAGCAGAACTTGATTCGAATCAGATACGATTCAAGACTTTCTTGTTTCGAAAAACATGACATACATATGAAACTGCGAATAGTTCTGACCTCTTCGTGCTCTTCGGAATCACCGTCATCCGCCGCTTCGTCGATTGCTGCCGGCGGAGGGTTGCTGAGACGGAGAAATGGCCAGAAAAACTTAGTTGGCTAGTGAGAGAGCCACATTTAACACGTGACGAGTCCTGGCTGGAAACGGGTAGGTTCAGTAAGCCATTCCGGTTCAACGAAAACAAAAGGTATATGGTTCTAAAACGGCGAAGCCCAAGCCGAAAAAGCTACTCACGAAAAAAGGGCAGATGGTACCCAGTGAGCGCGTCAGCATAGGCGATCAAAGTGTCCAAGGACCAACGCTTGCACAACAGGAGCACACAGACAGCAGTATCTGCTTGTAAAGACACGACGAAAGCAGTCCAAACACCATCAAGTTGTAGTGTCCAACAGTATAGTAGGCGTTGCTTTACCTGATGGTACCGGTCGGACTTTTCTCCAGGACGAACTTAGCCACACCGGTCACGAACTCATCGAAGTCGATTTGACCCGACCGGTCCGTGTCGATCTTTTCGAAGATAGCAGTCAGCTCCTTGAGTAGCAAAAGGTGGTTCGTCCAGCAGGCAACCAGAATTTGACGAGTCATCCGTACTGCTGAGGCACGGCGGCAGCCTCGACATTTTCTGGGGTGGCTACAACGGCATTACCTCGACCAGGACAAGGGTACAAAGGAAACATACATAAGCAGCATAAGCATAACGTGTAGATTTCTGACTTGACCTCCATTGCACGCAGATTGCACTGACCGAGGTTTGGACATGCTCTTGAAGGTCGTGGAAAACCGACCAGAACTCTCCCTTGTCCAGCTGTCCACTGTTGTCGTCGTCGTACTTATCGAAGAAAGGCCTCAGCAGCTTCTCTAGGCGCCGCATAACGATCTCCGGGAGAGCAAGGTTGCCCTGCAGCCGAATCGTGCACGAGTGCAGACGGTAGAGGACGCGCAATATTCGTCATGACTCGGATCCAAAAGTCGCAGCAGCAAACTTTACCAGTAATGTAGACAGACGTAGTGGGGCGATATGAATGCATTCGGAGCAGACCATCACGAGAAACCAAAGACAACCAACTCGGCCACCCTCCTCTTGAGCTTAAGCACTCCCTCTCCCTCTCGCGCTCACCCCGTCCATGGACTGGTAGCCTCCTTCGGTTGATTGGCGGGCCGCAGCGAATCGAAGCTCCGCCTGAAAATGATAGATACAGACACGAGTCATACACGCACGAGTCGGATATATGTCTCAGTCCCACAGCCGACAAGACGCGAAAAGCTGCGGAGAGAAAGAAAAAGGACGTCTTCAGAAGGGTTGAGGGGTTGTAACGCAACAAACCCTGCCTGCTTCCCATCGTCAGTATGTCAGGCATGAAACAAAAAAATCACGGCTGACGGATATACGGCAAAAACGGAACGGGCCATGCACGACATAAACAATTTGCTGCACCGCTGGTACACCCACAAAGGCCTGACGCGAACGAGTGTGACGACTCTAGCAAAGGAAAAAAATAACCGATAAGTTGCGAACTGGTATTCTTGCCTGCATGACGCCGAGCAACGAGATCTCGCCATTCATGATCTTCTCGCGCTTGACCTCCTCCATGTAGTCCTCAAAGACCTGATCGTTGTCCGTACGACTCAGCTCCCACTGCAGTTTCCACAGACATGGGTGCGAGCGGAGTGGATCGGTTACTTTAAGTTACAATATTTGAGCCTTGCATTCTTCACAATGATTTCAATGCAGATCACAAGCGTTCATAAGCACACGGTCTGGCGCGCGTGGGGGGGGGTGCACTCATAGTCGTGCATGCCGTAGTCGTTAGACCATCGGCCTCGCATCCCATCAAAGTCGGGACAGAGCACGCCGGGTTCTCACCGGACCAGGCTCTCACATCACCAAGCGCGAAGCGCCGTGAGGTTCTCAGCGAGGTGGCAGTGAAGGTGTGCTGCATTCTGTTATGGTATTCGGCATCTTGTGCGTACTTGCTTGCATACGGATGAAAGCTGCGAATGACTTAATTCATTTTCTGGTGCTTTGACTCCAGAGACAGCTATAAGCACTGTGTGGCTGCCTCAAGGGTGCTTCACCATTATAACACAACGTGGTGCGATCATCCCCTTTCTGCGGAGTGAGGGTTCTCGACCCCGCACAACCTAATCTACTCGACCAACATTGGTTACCGCAAACAAAAACAAAGGCAGAAAGTAAAAAGCGGGGGGGAACGGACAAACCTGGTAGTAAAGGTATCCCGCGAAGAGCACCGTGCAAGCGATGAGACCAGCCAGAGCGAACCCCGATTCTCCAGCGGAAACCTCGGCGTCAGTCTCGCCAGACAAGAAAAATGCGGGACCCTGGCAAAAAAACGATCGTGCGCAAGATGAGGGAGCAGTTGGGGCTATGAGTGACAACCAACAACACTGCTGTCGGCGGCCTTCACAACGTTTCAGATCCAAACACAAAAGCTCGAAGCATACTCCCCGTTGGCCAGGGGAGTGCCGGCTTTTCATGGTCACATAGACATGACCAAAAGCCGGCAGCAAAGGCGTCACAAATAACTGTTCGAAATTCCGTTTCCTCGCATATTGGTGTCTTGTTCTTACGGAAACAGATACGTGTCCAGGATCGTCGTGAACTAATTCACACTTTCGACGCATTGCGTGCCAGGGTCGATCAATCCCCCCCCGAAAAAAATAAAAAGAGACTTGGTCGTTGGATAGCTTAGTTCAGGTTCATTAGTACTATGCACACCCCAGTGCAAACTGATGTTTCTAAATTGACAAGAACGCGTCAACAATTTGCTGATGAGTTAAATCGGGTGTGCACCCCGAACCATCCTGTATACTGAACTTGAACAAGCACTAGGCAGTAACATTTGCGCTTGCTAGAGATGTGTCAAGTCGCAATCGTAATCGTTCCACCGAAATCCACGGCAACGCTCGGATCCAAGCTACCATCCCTTGAAAATGAACAATACCCGCCAAGAGGAGCTCGAAAGCCGCGGCTGGTCTTGCGAGAAAACACAAATAGCAGGTCGCGCACAATCGAAAACTACCGAAAAGTCACAGCATCTGGCAAGAAGCGTGAACGCGAGAGGTACCCTGTACACAATCACAGCAGGCCTTGAATGCTTGTCACATCGGCATCCACCGAACATGGTCCCGCACGATGTGAGCAGAAGTGAATGTTCAAGTGTCTCATGCACCTACGGTGGGGGCATGCCCATTGATCACCGCATGACCGCACCGTACGAGACAGGGGGGAGTGCAGCGAAAGAAGTCTACTAGCGACAACCAATTGCATATTAGTATGGGCATGAATCGTTGGTTCCGAAAGGGCAGCGCCGCGATACCCCCGACCATTCCCCGCACCACTGCCCATTTCTCTATTCGCTCCCCCAGAACCTGCAAAGCGATGTGAAGCAAAACATTGGCGGCAACATACTTTTGGTCGACGTGCCATCAACAGCACTGCCGACTCCATGATGCACTGACCTGGATGATGAAGTAGCTGATGCTGGTGATCATCATCAGCTTGCCTCCCTTGCTAACCTGAGGGCTACCAGTCACACCAGAATTCAGGAGGGTCTCCGTGAACGAAAGTCCGGGCGTGAGCTTGCTCCATCCGACCACACCCGGCGGACGTTTGTAAACGGCCAGGCCAGTTTCTTTGGCGATATCCACACGGCCACCCCACGTTGCGAGGAACCTGCAATGTGGTGTGAACGAAACACACAAATAGAGTGATTTCAGGGCTTATAAACGTCGAGCAACTCCTGAGGGTGGCATGGTGCGAGCGAGGAACATTGCTCACGGCCGAGAGCTTCAGTTGCGCGTCGCCACAGTTCCTCACAAGCAACCGCAGCCAGTCACGCCGCCGCGAGTGGTGTGCGAGGGCGCCGGGTGCAGTTTGGCAACGCACAAGAGGATACAACCGGGGCAACCGGGGCCCTCATGAACTTGAGTCCCAAAGAAGTGTTTATTTCAGTTATCTGACCGACTGGTGGGCCGACGCGCAAGCACCACGGTTCTTGCATTGCTGTTGAATCAACTCGCTTGACGCCAATCAATCCAGGTGACACCCATACTGCTAGGATATGGGGCGGGGGCTGAATAGCCCCTGTTTGATGCTACGAAGAAGGAAGTTACAGTACTACAGTGACGCCTAGAGGAAAACGAGAATAAGACCACGGCATGGACGCAAGACCTGTATTAATTAATAGCCGCGGAGAGCGCGAAGCGCGACCGTTCTTTTTTCTCCGTCCCAGGAGGGAAAAAACAGGCTCTAAATGAGCCTTGGTTACACTTTGATGGTAACTCTTTGAACTAACCGATGTTCAACGTAACAAGGCTAGGTTCTTCAGGCGAGCTGGGTTGCTCACCCAACATCTACCCTAACCCGAACCCGAACCGTCACCCACGGCCAAAGTACGGCCTAGCGGCCGCGAACTGGGCGGCACGCGGCGCAGCCGCGTGCTCGGAATGAGGAACGGGGAGATGGCGCTGGAGAGGAATCGGCCGCCAGAACCAACGCCGAACAACGCCCGACCAATCAGAACGCGTTAGTCCTGAAGATCTACTATCAATGTGTAAACACTACTCTAAATATCGGCCTGTTCCAGTCGCGATGCAGGGGCCCAAACCTTGCATTTCCGGGAAGCCTAAAAAACCCACTGGGACCAGAACGAGATCTATGGATCGCCGATTTACGATCTACTGGCTTCTGAGGAGGGGGAAGTATAGGGCACTCTTCGTCACACCGGTTTGGTCGTCCTTCGGCGAGAGATGGCCTTGACTCATAGTTATTTGTGCGCAAAATTCGTAGGAGATACCCCACCCCATGCGCTGGAGTTGCCGAGGAGGCGGGATTGTAAAAGCGGAGTTCTCAAGCGCGCGCGATTCAAAAAGAAGAAATAGAGGTGGCATATCGCTGATGTCTCGCACACCCACAGCATCACACCCATCCGCCGTGGTCCAATCCCTTCCATAGGTAAAAGCACAGCAGCAAACAGCAGACCTGGTGCCCGCTCTCTGGCTAAGCAACAGGGAGAGTCTTGGCGGTTCTATTTGCCGTCGGAAAAATCGAAAAATCGATGGGTGAAAACAGGATAGATTGAGGTCTTCTTGCCCAGAGCAGCAACAACAACAGCGGAGAGCGAAGTTGAGGCGACTGGTGTTGTTTCCGCAATCGCCATGTTGGACTCAGAATGATGTAGGGTGACGTCTTTCGCTGGACAACAATAGGGCGGGGGTTAAGGGAAGCAAACAAACGACGCCGCCTGCAGCAAGCAAAACAGAAGAGAGACTGAAATGTTAAACAAACAGTACATGCGAGAGAACGCGAGCTGGCTCTGTTGGAATTGCTGTGCTCCTGCCACTTCCACCTGCTTTCCACACCGCATTGCCCGATGGGTTCTATTTCGTGTATTTTTATCCTGTCTACTGTTCATTTGTTGGCGACGGCAGTACTGCCAGGTGCCGATCGTTTGGCGGTACTGCTGTACCATCGCGTGTGTCACAGCGTGTGTGTGTGTTCCTCCGCCGTTCGTTGGTGAAGCATTTGATACAAGTGGGGAGCGGATGCAGTCTTGAAAGCTCAATACATTCCGGATACGTATGTATGACGTGCGGAGGAAGTCTACGTCACACAAAAGCATCGCAGATACACACTACTGCAGGCATTGAACCGACCCCACGGCTCAACCTCGACCCTACGGCTCATACTCCTCCCTGTCTATGTAGTATAGTTTTCCTCGTTCTGTCGCGGGAATGTGTCCTTCCAGGGTCGCATAGGTGAAGGGTTTGATCATTATCATTTGGTCGAATGGCAATAGTGCAAGGCCACTTCACAATGTATCGCAGACAGGGATGGGTATTCGTGTCATTCAACCGCCGTATCCATCGTCTGCGGTGGGGGGGTGTACTCACAGTCGTGCATGCCGTAGTCGTTAGACCATTGACCTCGCATCCCTACAAAGCCGGGACGGAGCACGCCGGGTTCTCACCGGACCAGGCTCTCACATCACCAAGCGCGAAGCACCGTGAGGTATTCGGCGAGTCGCATGGAGGGTGCTCTGCATCCTGCGAAGGGTGTTCGGCATCTTGTGCGTACTTCCTTGCAACGGATGACAGCTGCGAATTACTTAATTGGTTTTCTGGTAGCACTGTGTAACTGCCTCGAGGGTGCTTGACCATTTTAACACAACGTGGTGCGATCATCCCCTTTGCGATCATCCCCTTTGCGCGGAGTGAAGGTTCTCGACCCCGCACAACATGATCTACTCGACCAACATTGATGGTTGCTGCGAAAAAAAAACAAGGGAAAAAAAACAAGCGGTAACCTGGTTGTCGAGCTCACGAAGCGATCGGCTTGTTTTACAACGTCGTTGGCATGCGACGAAAGCCCAACCCCGATGGCAGGGGGGGGGAAGGGGTGTGTGCAAAATCTGCTGTGATCGTGTGACTAGAAGCTGAAGCTGAAATCTGAACTACCAGTGCCACGTAGACTAGATAACAAGACTACGACTTGTTGGGCCGACTGCCGTCGCCACAACCAGCGTGCGACACCTGTTTGTTTTTCATCACTGGTCGCCCTGGTGGTCTAGTGGCCGCCAGTTCCTGACACGGTGCATCGGCTGGAGCAGGCGGAAACGCTCAGACCGCTCCCTGTCCTATGCCCAGGCCCTCATACAGGCCGGCTGCGAGGAAACCATCGAGGCCACCGTGCGCAAACGGAGACTACGCTTCGCGGTTTTTTTTATGCGCATGGAGGACAACCGCCTCCCCAAGCGCATCCTGTTGGGAGTGATGGCGGGGGGCGTGGGATACCGGGGCGGGCAGGAGAGCGACTGGGTGTCTCGTCTAGGAGAGGACCTCGTGGCCTTCACCATGAGAGACGAAAAGGAAGGGGGTAAATGGAACGAGAGCGCCAAGGACCCGAAGGTGTGGTAGAACAAGGTCGAGGACGGGGCGGCATGGCTCATGAGGAAATGGCGCAGGCAGGAGGCGGAAGCGTCCGCGAAGCGCCAGCGCGCGAAGGAAGCAGAAGCAGAGAGTACGGCCATCTCAGGACCGAAGAGAAAGAGAGTCGGGGAAGCGGCGGTGGGGGGGAAGGAACGGCGACCGGGCACTGCTGTAGAAGCGAGTAGGGCGGCCGAGGCAGCACTTGTGGCGAACATGTACCCGGCCGATGTTGTTGCGCCCTGTTTCCCTCCCTGCTGTATGCTATACTCCTTGATGTATGTCCTTTGTATTGCCTTCGGCCTCTGTGCTGTGCTTCTTTTCTCATGTCCTCCCTGCCTACTCTGCCTTGTTGAGTACCTTGATCTCCCTTTTGCTGTTGCTTTTGTTTTTATACATCTGGCTGTCTGCCCTTCTGCCGCCTCTTTATTATGTTGGCTCCATTACTCCCATGCCCTGGTGCGTAGTGCCTGGTGCTGGTACGTTACCCTTTGATTACCTTTTTTTTTAGGCGGGTGCGGGAAGCGTCCGCCTTTTAATTTTCATCTTTATTTTTGTTTTGTTTATTTTGATCGGTTTCCGAGGGCTCTTTTCTCCACCGGTCGGTGCGGTAGCTGTTGTCTCTTTGCGAGTGGTTTGTACCCTATTTTGTTTTGTTTCCCCGCGGCGTCGTATGTGCCGGGTTTGGAGACCACGGGCTCCCCATTCTTGGTGGACTATAGAGCTAATGTGAGAAACAACAACAACCAACAAGCGGTATCCTCGACAAACGCTAGACACAAGGGTCGTGAGTTCGAAACCCACATGGGGTGAAAGATTACAAAATCTGCGGGTGAAAGCGAAATATACCTGAAAAGGCTCTCGTGAGTAGATATCAAACTTCGACGTTAGCACCGTTGACGAGGGAAAGGAACGGCTGGACTCTTCTCGCGATAAATTCAGCACGCACGGCAAAAGAAAGGTGGGGCACGAAAAAACAACAACAACAAAGCCCTGGAGTTTACTTACCCCCTCCCGTGTGACCCTGGATGATTGTATTTGTACGAAAAAATAAACTGATAGGTGCAACACGTGTCACCACGAAAAATGGGGAGACTGCCGCCATCATATGTAGGACTAAAACACGAAACACAGTAAATCAGCCCTCATCGCATACGTGCCGGGTAGACAGGAGCTCCAATCCGTGTTACGGGCAAGGAAAAATGACGTCCAGATCAAAATGAATGAATGAATTACCAGTGTCCATCAAAATGCACATGTAGCATACGATCCGAGTGTTCGTTGGTTCCACTACACTGCACAAAGTTGTGTTGCGTGCCGTGCTGCTGCATCGATGCTGGTTGGTTTCCATCCATGGATCGAGAAACAACGTGTTTCAATTCAAACAAACTCACCCTATTTTACTGAAGAATTTCGCACTGGTTGAACTACTGTGTATACAGTACTGGGCCCGCCATAGTGCCGATTGAATAGTGCCGATGCCCGGTATAGTGCCGGCAAAATCTCTGGACACAGAAAGCGCCCTCAATAGTGCCGGTTCGGCACTTTTGAGGGCGTCCCCTCTATAGTGCCGATTGGGCACCACGGCGCCCCGCAGTAGTGCCGGTTCACACACACACGCCAGCTGACACACACACACAAGTAATTATTTTGGGAGTGACGAAGACGAAGGAAAGGGAAGGGAAGAAAGAAGGACGAAGACGACGATGGAGCAGGAAAACATGAAGGAGTGGAAGAGAGCAAAGGGTTTGAGCCAGATGTTGAAGATGCTGGATCAGAAGGTGTCTCACGCACAGATTGCAGACCGCTTCAAGTGCTCGCTTCGGTTTGTTGGGACCGTGAAGGCTGGCCGGCAGAAGGGGGAGACAGCAACTGCTGCAAGCTGCGGCAGCCAGAAAACTGCACGCAAAGGAGATTTTCCGGAGGTGCGCTACATGCAATCCTGTGACGTTGGGTTATTTCCCCCGCCATTGCTTTTGCCGGCCGTTTTTTTTTCGAGCCTGGTTCGTTCGCTGCTGGATGTCCAATTTTTTTTCGTCTTTCGTTCTCCTTTGGTTTGTTGTCTTTCTTCGGCTTTTTTCTTTCCTTTTCTTTGTCCCTCGTTTTTCTTCTTTCTCCGCTTTCATCGTTCATTCGTTCCCTGTGCTCTCGCACATACCCTCTTCTCAATTTTAAACCAGTAAATTACTACAACACGGCAGCGCTTCTTGTTTGTACCTGCCGCATTTTTGTCCAAGTGTACTTCACACTAGTGCACAATTGGGAACAATACTCGAACGTGTGAGCTTAGTGTAACAGGGTACGCTTCGTCCGCCTGCCCGCGCCGCGCAGTGTAGGTTAGCATGCTTACGTTCGAAACTAAGCGTTCGATCTTTTGCACTCTCGGCGTTGTTTACACGTTTTGGCGGCAGGTGGATGAGATAGCTCTTGATCTACTCGACAAAGCCCGGAAGGCCAAGATGCCCGTCACACGCGATGTCCTTCGAAGCTTCGGCCGTTCTGCCAGGGCAACCCTGCTGGCTGACACCGCAACTTCTGCAGCAGTGAGGGAAAGGGTGGAGGACTTCAAGGCCGGCGAGGGGTGGGCGAAGCACTTCGTGAAGCTCAACAAGAGCCAGAGCGTGAGAATTCATGGCGAGAGGCTGGTAGCGTCGACAAGGAGGCCATCAAGGAGGGCATGGAGGACATCAGGGCCCTTTGCGAGAAGTACCCGGCTAGGTTCATCTTCAACGTCGACGAGACAGGCCTCCAGTGGAAGCTCATGCCCAGGCGCACGTACCTTTCCACCTTGGAGGATCGGACGACGGCGCGGGGCTCAAAGAGCATGCACTTCAAGGACCGACTGTCTGCCATCATGTGCTGCAATGCCGACGGCACTGCGAAGGTTGACATGGCCATCATCGGGAGGGCAAAGGAACCCCGCTGCTTCAAGAACGGGGGTTCACCTCTGAAGTACTTCTCGCAGACCAACGCGTGGTCCGACTCCGCGACGTTTCTCAAGTGGTGGCTTGAAGTCTTCCTCCCGTTCGTTCGGCGCTTCAATCACGAACCTGCGCTGCTGCTGATGGACGGCTGTTCGTCTCACAGTGATTTAGTGGACGATCGCGGGCAAGTTACCGTCAAGACCTACCCTCCGCTGTGCACCGCCGTACACCAACCCATGGATTTGGGGGTCATCGCCAAGACGAAGGTCAACTACAGGAAGGAGCTGCTCGATGTGAAGACATCAACCATGTTGGTGGCTGACACACTTCGCGCCCAGGCCAAAGCCCGCAAGATGAAGGCCGGGACAATGGGGCTAGCGCAAGGGCACCAACCTCACGTGCGGGACGCCGCTGAACTTCTCCAGAAAGAATGGGCCAGCGTCACCGCCCAAGACATCGCCAGGTGAGGTTTGAACATGTTATATCGCTGTTTTAAATGTGCACATGCTCGCGCAAGTGCGCATGGCTTTGGTGGTACGTTACGTGGGTAAGGTTGTACGGATAGGTTTTATTTTTCGACTGAATACTCCCGCAACCGCAAATCTCCTTGTTTCTTTGCTAAAAAAAGGCCCTCCCTCGCATCCCTATGAGTCATTGTTTGTCACTGGGTTCGTCTAACATCGGTTCTCCACCCAAACACGGGTGCATCACAATTTCTGCGCGACCTGGCCAGGTGCTTTGTCAAAGCCGAGACGCTTGCGGAGGAGATGGCGGCTGAGCTCACCAAGCAACACGGAAAGACCCNTGCAGGACGCGCAGAAGCAGGGATCCCGCGTCGTGGACGAGGAGATCAGCGAACTGTTGGCAGAACTCAACATCGAACCCGGAAAGCCGGTCGCGGGGGAAGAGGTGGCCGCGATTCAGGGGTGGGCTACCATCGAGGACGACGAGGAGGTGGTAGAGGCTTTTCGATTGGACGCGGTGGAAGACATGACAGCACTGCTGGCTGGAACGAACTTATCTACCGGCGGCGACGACGAGGAGGACGAACAGGACTAGGGAGGCGGCGGTGAGAACACGGGGCGCGAGCGCCGTGCCCCACGTGCGCCACCGGGTTATGAAGAACTGTCGTCGCACTTCGGCGCCCTGGAAGTGGCAGCAGAGGGCAGTGGCAACGGAGACGCGGCGTCCTACCTAACGAAAGTGAAGATGTCGATGATCGCAGCGCATTCCGCTAGGCGGGTGCGCCAGACAGACATTAGAGGATTTGTCGCGACGTAGAGTTCATGGTTGTTTCTTTTTCTTGCGGTTCGCTTCCTGTCGTGTACTTGTAGTTTTTAATTTTTTTTCTCGCAACATCGAAGCGGGTACGCCAGGCAGACACTCCAGTGTCGCGACGTAGTTTGGGGGGGAGATACAACTGTAGTGCAGTAATATTGATTTTTGTTTTCTTGCAGTGCGCTTCCTGTCGTGTTTCTTTTTCTGTTTTGTCTTTTGTATCTTACAACATCGAAGGAGGGGCTCTAGGGCTTACATATAGCTACGTCCACTCTGTACGAACGGGAGCTTTACAAGCATCTTGCCGTCAACAGCAGTTTCGACAGTTCATGTGCTGAGGCAGGCAGAAAATATCGGTGCAACATGCAAGTAAATATTTTTACAACTCGCCCTCTGTGTGTGCGACAGGGGGGAACCATACTTGTCGCGAGAAAGGATGCCTACGCCCACGATAGACCTTCACTAAGTTTGATCCATTTCGTACTCTGTTAGCCCCGCAACGCATGGGCGCCACAGCATGAAATCAAACATCTTCTCAATAGTGCCGGACCGGCACTATTGAGGGATATTCGAAACCTCAATAGTGCCGGATCGGCACTTTTGAGGCACTATTCTGATTAGTGCCGGTGCCCTATATAGTGCCGATATTATCGATGGGCACATACCGGCACTAAAGCGGGCCGAGTACTGTATTGTATAGTATGGATGGATATGGATCGCAGTATCACGGTAATCTTCAAGCGGAGCAACAATCGGTAACGAGTAACGAATAACGAAAAGGCAACTACCGCCAGCTTGTTGAATGCACACCAGTACACAAGTCAGGTTGTCAACGCGATAGTTCTCACCAAGGTATGGTCAACAGCATGATGGTCGATCCTGCAAGGGCACCGACACCGACTGACAGCTCTTCCTGTGCGTCATCACCCATCCCCGAGAAGAGAACGATAGCGCCGTCAGGGACTGCGCCCAGCACCGGAAGCACGACAGAACCCACGATGCCAGCCAACGACGGAACCAGCAGCAGGAGCTCCGACCCATCGGAGATCATGTTGGATGCGCTAGAAACGGGGGTGAACCCAGGAAACACACCAACAAAGTGCGGAGCATACTCACATCACTTCCGTGTTCTGTTCACAGTTGTTGCTCCGAACGATGTACTTATGCGCATACACACCATCAACGCATCTCTAAGAGCGGCACGGTTTTCAACCCGAACAGCAGGAAGTCTAATCGTCCAATTAGACTCCTGTCTTTTGTATCAATGTGCAGCTGAACGCGGACTAAAATAAAAGTTCATGATGCTACGTGCCAAGACTGCACACACTCACCTGAACAGGATGTACCCATATACAAGCATCAGGAAACACACTTGGACGAAACCTTGCCAATCAGGTGGCAAGGTGTCCGGGTCAATGAATAACGACATCTCGGGGCAACTCCCTCAGATCAATCAGATCGGCTGCTGCTGAGGAAAGCGAGAGGACAAAACAAGCGGGGGAAAGAGTCGTTGGTTTCATCGAACCCCTCTGGAGAACAAACGCACAAACGGCAGTGCACCAGTGCAGAAATACGCCATCAGAGAGTCCGGTACCATGCGTACAATCTACACGGGCACACACAAGAACAGCAGCTCAAATATGAGATGCAAATAGCCGTTCATCCCGTTGCTCGGTGCGCCAGTACAGATGGCGCCCGCGCTGAAGAACCTCTAGTTTCGGCCGAGGCTGGGGTTCTTGTTTTGCTGATCATCCTCTTGTGGGCTACAAATAGGGTTCTAAGCCGAGTTCACAAATGGTGCTCAAGTTCTTAGCTTCTGATTTTTTGCGAGTCTCAATTTCGTAATTGGGAAGTTCTTAAGTGCGGGTGCTATCTGTATCCACCTCTTTCTGTTGCTTGATGAGCGTGATGTCGACAACCTCTATTTGTCGTATACGTCCAAGCCGAAAAAAGTATCGGAGGACCATTCGAAGAACTGCTGTGGTCACCTCAACATAGTACGTTCTTGGTACATATGCGTTCCTCACGTCCCAACTTACAGAGAGGGGGATAAGAATACAACTGCACCCAATGGACATCGAGCGGGACACCTTCGCAGGGACGGTAATGAGGTGTGCATGCTCTCACCAGTAGAACTTTTACCATCAAAACAAATTTGCGCGAGGGTCTCCAAGGAGTGAACAAACATATATTGTATGCCAACAGCTCCCTGCACCAGCACCTCACCAGCACAGGAACCCCTCACGATATGTGTTGGTGGTGGGCAGGAGCACACTCCGACGGCGTTGTGCAATCGCGCGGTCCAAATGCAATGTAGGACAGAAGAATCAGGGTCACAGCAAGTCACAGGGCGCCTTCCTCGCAGGAGTTGTTGTTGTTGTTGTTTCTCACATAAGCTCTATAGAATAGACTCTTTTCTATGATAGAGATGGACTCGTTGTGTCATATTAAGAAAAATAAAAAAAAAGTCGGGAGCCCGTGGCCTCAAAACCCGGCACATACGACGCCCGCGGGCGAAATAAAACACAAATACGGTACAAACCACTCGGAAAAAGGAAACGAAATGATAAAAAAAAAAGAACAGGTACCGCACCGACCGTTAGAGGGAAAAGCCCTCGGAAACCGATAAAATTAAACGAAAAAAAAAAAAAAAGACGCTTCCGACACCCGCCTAAAGGCAAATCCAAAGGGTAACGTACCAGCAAGAGTGTGTAACTCCGTACCTCGTCGAGTTTCCGTCGGTATGGAAAAAAATAACCGGTTCTAGGTCCATTCCGGGAATCCATTTCCGGCATGACCGAAAAAAAGGGAAATGGACACAAGTGGGTATACCCACGCATTCTCGGACAAAAGTGGGTACTCGAAAATCCAGCGCGCGCGCACTCCATAGGCGGCCCCCAAACGACTCAAAACCCCATTCTGACACCTGGGCGGCACAGCCAGGGACCACGCACAGCACGGGCATCGAGGTTTTCCCACTTTCAGGCACACCTTCGGCGCTAATGCCGCCGACGCGCGCAAGGCCTCACCAGAGTGCCCACTTCTGTCCGACATCGCAGTGGGTACACTAACTCTTTGCCCTGTTTGCTCCGTTACTCCCATGCCCTGGTGCGCAGTGCCTGGTGCTGGTACGTTACCCTTTGATTTTTTCTTTCGGCGGGTGTGGGAAGCGTCCTCCTTTATTTTTCTGTTATTTTTGTTTTGTTTTATTTTGATCGGTGTCCGAGGGCGCTTTTCTCGAACGGTCGGTGCGATATCTGTTCTTTTCTTTTTATCATTTTGTTTTCTTCTTCCGAGTGGTTTGTACCCTATTTTTGTTTTTTTTTGTTTTCTCGCGGCGTCGT